CCTGGTGGTCTCAATCACTCTGTGGCTCCAGCCAGGCTTCTCACCTCTGTTCTCAGCCCCTCCAACTCACCCTTGAGGAAGCGTGAGATTTCTGAAAGATAGCTCTACTCCTGTTGAAAAGGATTCCCTCTCATCTCCATTTTATAAATCAAGTTCAAACTTCTCACTGTGGAGCAGGCATCTGTGAACCTGCCCCATCTCTCTTCCCAGGTTCATTTCTACTGAAGGTCACTGTCAGTCATTCTGAGTCACTGCCAACTGCAGCTTCAGGTCACCTAGCCTTTGTTCCTGCTCTTTCCTCTGCCTGCTCACCTCTCCCTGAGTCCCAGACTCATGAAAAATATTCAACTGCCCCAATGGGGTGGTCCAATGTAGCTTAAAGGAAAAGGAGACCCAAATCTGAAAACCCTGCTTCAGATGCAAATGGCCTTCATTTCCTCTACCCAGGGTTTGTCTCTCTTGGTGAAATCCCCTGCTGGGTCTTTGTAACTAATTTGGGGCAGAAATAGTTAACTTATTGGAGTATTCCATGTTCTCAAGTTGGAAGGGAGCTTGGACATTATCATCATCGTGTCCTTTGCTACTCAAAGTGAGGTCCCTGGACCAGCAGCATCAACACCACCAGGGAGCCTGTGAGAAATATAGACTTAGGCCCCACCAGACCTGCTGAGCCAGAAAGGGCTTTGTCACAAAGAAGATTCATATGCAAGGTGACGATTAGGAAGCATTGATCTTGTCCAAACCTCCACCCACCTCTTGAGCCCCTAAATATCTGTTGAGAAAAATTGATTCTGTTCTGAAACACTCCAGCATGGGCAGTGGCCTATCTCCCAAAGCAGCCCATGCCACCTTGAGCATTGTCTGTCAGGTCCCCCATTGCAAAGTTCCCCCATGTTACCCATGTCTCCAGCTTTTCCACTTCCCATCTCTGACTACTTCCCTATCATGCCTCTCAACACCTACAACCAGTACCCTCACAATCCACTCAGACCCAAATCCCATAGAAAGCCATTCAGAAGGTCAAGTGAGATCCCATTACTGTGAGTTTTTCTTAATCTCTGTTTGGTGTCTTTTAGGTCTGGATTTTAGCACTCACAGCATTTTCTTTTTCTTTTCCGTTTTTTTTTTTTTTTTCACCAGGGATTGAAATCAGGGGAGGCACTTAACCACCAAGCCACATCCCCAGCCCTTTTCTTTCTTTCTTTTTTAAAATTTGTTTTAATTAGTTATACATGACAATAGAATGCATTTTGACACATTGTACGCCAATGGAGCACAATTTCTCATTCCCAGCCCTTTTTTATATTTTATTAGAGACAGGGTCTTACTGAGTTGCTTAGGGCCTTGCTGAGTTGCTGAGGTTGAGTTTGAAATTATGATCCTCCTGCCTCAGCCTCCCTAGTCGCTGGGATTATAGGCGTGCACCACCATGCCCGGCACTTAGAGTTTTTTGACCTAGAGCTGTTATAAGATAAAGGGAGCCCAACCAGAGAGTGCTACAGAGTGACCTTGGTTTTATAGCTCTTGTAGGCCTTGGCCTCCTTCCCCTGGGCCATGTTCTCCCACTGGCATGTGGCTTTCGATGAAGCAACCACCTCGGAGAGTTAGTTGTTGTTCATGGACAGGAAGCTGGACATGTCTGAGGCCCAGGCCTGCAGTGTAGCACCTCCTGCAAGACAATGGGACACTCAGTCCTAACTGAGACTCTCCTGACTCCCTGCCTTAGAATGACACTTTATACTCCAAGGCCTTTGCCTTGTTGGTCCTCATACTAGCCAGGTTGGCTGGGCTGGCAGGAATTGTTGTGACAGAGGCCTAAACACAAGGCACGATGGCTTTAGGATCAGAGAGTGGGCCAGGTTCCTTCACGTGCTCTTTCTGAGGTTCAGTTGTGGCACCTCTGAGTGGCAACAGAGCATAAGATTGCCCAGCCCCTGCACATGGTCCTGGAGGTAGAGGAGATGGATGCAGCAAGGATCAGAAGAAAACCAGGCCATGCCTGACTCAGAGAGCACCCTAAGTCCCGTGTCCTCCAGGGAGAGACCAGGACTGGCTCCACTGCAAGTCCAGGTCCCAAGGCCAACCCTGGTGGGCTTCTGGGAAGATGGTCCTATGACTCCTCTAGAGCTGCTACTCCCCCCACTTCCCTGGGTTGCCCCCCTCACCTGCACTCCCCTCTCCACCCCATGAACGCCCTGTGTGTTGGATAGCACCCAGCTCCCAAGAGGTTACCAGCCTCTACTCCTGAAGCTCCCAAGATCCCTGTGCCTTCCGTCCAACCTGGGGACCTGATCCCCTCTTCCCTGAAGGAGCCTGGTGTGGTCCTAACAAGGGTGTGTTGGAAAAAGCACAGGGTGACTTTAGACAAAGGCCTTGAGAGTCTCTATGTCACAGTTGCTATCCTGGTGAAATAAACAGAGCAGTTCCTGCTGTGCATGACAGAGGCCACCGCACCTTGGAACCTCAGGGGAGTGCCAAGTCGTCTTCCTCATTTACCCTGTGGTTGGTCTTCTGGAAGCTGCCAGGTGGGAGGGGCAGGCAGGTGGGAGCACTGCCTAGGACAAGCTCCTGTCCAGACTTGTGAGGGGGGCCGAGCCTGCTGCTCTCTTTCCTCCTCCTGTCAAAGGCAGGCAATAGGCAGGGTACCTCAGGGGTCCCTCCAGCTGGGGTATTTGTTGATAGTCAGGGACTCTGACCCTCAATCTTTTATGTGTAAAATGGCAGTAGCAAGTCCGTCTGTCCTAGTGCCATTCTCAGATAATGGTGTGACAGTGCTTTGTAAGCTGCAAAGTGACAGGTAGGCACCCACCAGAGGACAAATTCACACTGTCACTTCCTCTACCAGTGACCATGCCGGGCACTCCTCATCTGGCACTCTGTTCTTTCCCTCTGGATCCAGACACAACCAAAGGATCCTTAAGGTCACAGAACCACTGCTCTTGGCAGCCACACTCAAGTGGCCATGGAGATTTGCTAGATGTAACACAGTGGCCTCCCTGCCTTTGAGTCCCTGTCACTGTTCCTTTGCTGCAGTGCCCTGATTTATTCCCCAGATTGTCCACCAAATCCTGCCTGGTCTGTTAGCCAGCTGAGTACTCTCATTGGGGAACCTGCCACAGGCTCCATGGGGGCTCCTCACTGCCCCTTGCAGGAAGCTCCACTCAGTCTCTCTGGCTCTAGAAAACAGACTCAGATCCCAGGATCACTCTCTCCACCCAGAGAACCCATGTGAGCTCTGGGATGGTGGGAGAATTCTTCATTCCCTGCCCAACTCTGGATGATAAACCAGACACATTCAGAGAAGCCTCTACCTCTAAATTTGAGAATCTAGCTATTTCTTAAAGCCTTTATTGACTGGAAAGTTCTTCCTGCTATCCCATTGCATTCCTTTCTATTGTAAAGGGAACAGGGGAGCAGAAGCAGTGAGGCATATATGAGGTCTCCACTGGGAAATGGCAAGGTCTGTGCCCACTGCTGGAAACACACATGCACATGCACACACATGTGCAAACACACGTGCACACACTCCTCACGCATCTTGCCAACTGAGGAAGCAAACTTGTCACTGAGTCAGATCTTCTCACCCTTTCCCACCTCCACTTGCTAGCACTGGATTCCAGCTTGAGGCCAGCAGGGGGCTTTGGCTGATGGCTGCCTACTGGGTGGTGGGGATTTCGAACCAGGCTCTATGGACTTGCTCCAAGCCACAGTCACTACCTTGGATGTCCTAGCCACCAGCCCAGCCCATTTGGCCCTTCCTCTGAACCTCCACCTCCATGGGCAATTCAGCTTCCTCTTGCTGGTCTCTGTAACTGAAACCCTAACCCTGCCCCAAACAGCCCCATTAGCATGGCTGCCCCGCAAATGGCTTCTTGCCCACTGGCTGTAGAGACTCTGGCTTCCCATCACCCACAGACTCCCTCCCCCTCCTCTCCCTCCACCTCTCTCTAACCAGAGACAGAGCAGACCTGGGGAATCTGTCAGTCCATCCTTCTTGCCCTCCTCCTCACAAGCAGGACTGGCCATCTTGTCAGTGGGTCAACAGGAGTGTGTCTGGGAAGGTGCCAGCTGCACAGTCACTAAAACTTGTAGCCTATCCTGACCCTTTCAACAGAAAGCCACCAACCAGGCTGCATGCACAGCCTTTCTGTACCTCGTCCTCCTTCTCTCCCAGCCCTCCTCTCAGACTGTATTCCACACTCCATTGCCTGCTGCCTCAACCAAGCTCCCTCCCCTCTGTCACACACATGCTCAGTTTGTTCTGCTGCTGCTCTGCAGAGAAAATCAAACTATAAATACAGGCTGTGTAGGCAACACGGCAGTGCACTTATGTACCTGTGCTGCATGTATATGTGCGTGTGTGCATGTGTGCGCGTGCTCACGTGAGCATCTGAATTGTGGCACGTGTGTCCACTTTGAACACTCAGAGACCAAGCCTTCAGATTGTGCTGTTTATTGAGATGCAACAGGAAGGGTCTTAAAGAACACAGAAGGGAACCGTGTCTCCTCTTCTCTGTTTGTGAGTACAGTAAAAAAGGAGACCCAGAGTTGTGCTTGGTCCCATTCAGAATGAAACATGGGACTGAGCGGGGAGGTGGGGACCTGGGGCACTCTTGGTCAGTTGTTCTCAGTCCTCTTTCTCTTGAACACAGAGCCACATCCTAGTGGAGGCAGGAGCTAAGACATAAGCCCAGCATGTGAGGGTGTTTCCATCTGAGGCCCAGGGTGGTGTTGAGACAGAGGCTGGCAGAGGAGGAGAGGCTGGAGCAGCTGGGGGATGGTGAGTCCGGGGGTGTGCTGGAAGGAATTGCACTGGGCTTGGCCGTCCAGACCTGTCCAGGCTCAGCAGGCTCAGGCAGAAGAAGTGAAGCAATTAGCCAAGGCCAGAAGCAGGGGTCAGGAGCAGGACCAGCAGGGTGGAGGAGGGGTTGATGGGGGTGGAGCACAGCGTGGAAGCCAGAGCTGGGGTCCTGGGTGATGGAGGGCACAGCTTGCCCTCTTTACCGACTGCCTTTCTTGGAGGGGGAGCTCAGGTTAGAGCCCTTCCCCAGGGTATCCTTGTAATCGTTGGCACTGCTCCGGCTCCTGCTCTCCCCGCCGCGGACACTGCACACTCCGGAGATGCAGCTGGTGCTGTTGGCCACATAGCCGCCGCTGACTGTGCTGGGACGGAAGCCGTAGCCTCCACTGCCACTGGTGCTGCTGATGATGGCTGCAGAGGGAGAGCCAGGCTCAGCACCCACTCAGGCAGGGCTGGGGTCTCCTCTCCCCAGGACACACAGGGTTCTTAGGTGTCCGGCTCATAGCTACTCTGTCCCATGGAAGAATATTCCAAAGGCACCTGACCCCACTTCCTGTCCTTAGCTTTCTCAGCTTATAACCAATCTAGCTGAGTTTTGCCCTATTAATGCTCAAAGGCTCATCTCCTCGGTCCAGACACCTGTGTGCCCACCTGTCCTGAACACCCACTCACTGCCCCTCCTATTAAGCTCTTTGCTAATCTCCCACCCTCCAACCTCTTTCCCCTGCTAGGGAGAGACAGAAGATCTCCTGTGTTCTGGTGTGACTCGAAGCCCTGCTGAGAAAACCAGAGATCCAATACTATCAGCTTGATCTCCAAGATCCCCGTTCTCTAATATCCCAGCCCAGGTCTACTTATAATTTGCAAACTCAGCTTCCCAAGCCTCACACAGACCCATGCATCATAGAACAGTCCCCCCAACCCCGTCTTTGGCAATAGCCATCTCTTGCTGCCATCCCCTGGGAACAGAGAGTCAACATGATAAAGATGAAAGAGACCTGGGTAGGCAGTCAGGACACCTGATCTCTGGCCATGGGTCTACTCTCTGGCTTTGGGGACTCAGCAAGCCTTTCTCTCTCTGGTTCTTAAATGGCTTATCTGCATACATGAGGGATGACTAAGGTCCTTCCCTGCCTGCACAGTCACAATTTAAAGTCAAGCACACAAGTACTTACAGATGCTGACAGGGGAAGGATATTCTCCTGACATCCTGTTAGGGAGAGAAGTGAAATAAGAGCATGTCATCCATTCCAGTCTTCAGAGCTGCTGTCCCCCCTGGACTGATGTAGGTTTCTGAGCCCAATGGATACCTGTAGAAACTCCAGTGCTTCTTTGACACAAGCAGAACCTGAGAAGCTTTGGGGGTCATCCCTGAATCTTTGGAGTATCCAGGCAATGACCTCAGTCAAATAATAGTTTGCAAGAGGTGCCAGTGTCCAACCCATACACAGAGCTTCCCTTTTCCCTAACTCACGGGGGAAGCTGGAGTGGCAGGCCAAGCACACCTCCAACAAGCTCAAGTGCATCTGGACAGGCGAGGAGGATGGAACAAGAAGAGCTAATAGAGGAATGGGCTTAAGGGGCAGCAGGATGTTCCCAGATAGACCCAGGGAAGTTGCAAGGATTGAATGAGCTAATCCACGTAGCACTGCCAGGGATGAAATAAGTATGGTATGAGTGGATACAATATGGATGGTATTATTAATTACTTTTGTTATTTCTATCACCCACCACTCCATCACTTCCTGACAACTCAACTTTTCTGGATAAAGATCTTTTCGGTTTTTCTCCTTTGGTTCTTCCCAAACCCTCAGGGGCCTCCTGCCGGAGCATGTCCACCTACCTGCACTCCTCACTCTCCAGCAGCTTGCGGTAGGTGGCGATTTCCATGTCCAGGGCCAACTTCAGGCTCATGAGCTCCTGGTATTCACGCATCATCCGGGCCAGCTCCTCCTTGGCCTGGTGCAGGGCTCCCTCCAGCTCATCCAGCTTGGCCCGGGCGTCCTTAAGGGCATTGTCTCCTCGCTGCTCAGCATCCGCAATGGCTGTTTCCAGGTTAGAAGCCTAAACAAAGAATTAGAAAAGTTAGGAAACTAGAAGGAGTCATCATCTCCATTCAAATCCTTCCCATTGTTTAAGATCTCAGGACAGAGATGCCCACCTCCACACCCCTGCTCTAGTTGGAGAAGGGTTGGAAGTCCTTCCTGAGATCTAGCTCCATGCCCTGAACTCAGATGTTTGTGGTGATGGAAAACCATGCATCCTGCCCACCTGGGATGGCAGCCATCTAAGCACCACTCAATCCAAAGACATTTAGAGCCATACTGTTTCCAGGACACAGAAGGAGTAAGAAGATTGACTTTCTGCTTTTGAGTTCTTCAAGGTCCCAGAGGAGAGTGGAAAGAGCATGGAATAGGAGGTCCACTCTCCTGATCAGGAGATCCTCATTGGAAGCACAGCTCTACCACTCACCAGCTGTGCAACCCACTCAATCTCTCTGGGCTTCAGTTTCCCCGTCTGTAACATCAGGGGTGGTAACTAATGCCCCTCAGAGTCTTCATGAAAATTAAGTGTGAAAAAATGATAGATGCTGCTACTATTTTATTACATGTGTGCATCTTTGTCTTTATCTGCTAATGCTGAGGCTCCTCCTATATTCCTGGGAGCCACCTGGGTAAATCCTCAGTGGGTGTTCCCTGAGACTATTTCTCCTTCTCGGTCATTAAAACAACAAATGTTTATTAAGTTGCTATTATGTGCAAGAATGGTGCTGGAATCTGGGGAGGGACAAAGCAGCCAGCTCCCTGCCCACTTTCAGTGTAGTGGGGGTGGGAGGACAGGTGTCAGAAAACTCCAGAAGGTATGAACCCGAGAGCATGTGGCTGTTGGAGGAGGTCCCAGCCCAGCCTGGGGGAAAGGAGGCTTCCGGGGTGACAGAGCTTCAAAGCACAAGTGCTTGGAGTAAGAGAAGTGCCCCAGAGACCCTCCAAGTGTTGGAGGCAGCAACCTCCTTGGCCTCCTCTCTTTGTGTGGCAGAGATTGGGAGGCCACGGTTCTCAATCAATTCACTTCTTACCCAGTCAGCTCCCCTGCCCTTGACCATGGGCCAGTGTCCCTTACCTGCTTCTTCGCATTATCAATCTCTGAGCGGAGTCTCTGGATGAACCGATTGAGCTCTGTGATTTCATTCTTGGTGTTTTTGAGGTCATCTCCGTGTCGACCAGCTGCCAGCTGCAGCTCCTGGAACTAGGGCCCCAAAGCACAGAGTTGCAGATGAATATGGGGAGCTTTTCCGGGTTGTGGATAACATGGGACCAGGGCACAATGGACTCTCACCTGGACACTAACTCTGTTTGGGGCACCATTAGGCCCCACCCCCATGCCTGCTGCTGTTGCCCACCCAGCCCAGCCTCAGCCCCGCTCACCTTGGTCTGGTACAGGGCCTCAGCCTCGGCCTTGCTCTTCAGGGCGATCTCCTCATACTGGGCACGGACCTCGTCGATGATGCTGTCCAGGTCCAGGTTGCGGTTGTTGTCCATGGAGAGGATGACAGACATGTCACTGATATGGGACTGGATCTGAGCCATCTCCTGCAGCAGAAAGAGCAGTCTCTCAGCAACAAGCTCGCCCAGGCAAGGTGAGTGAGTTGCCAGTGGTGCCAACTTGGAACCTGGAACCCATGTCTGTGGGCAAAGTCAGTTCCCTAGGGGTCCAAACAGATTCCCACCACCATGGAGGGAGGCCGGACTCCTCCCTCCCCATGCAGAGGATGGAGGCTGAGGAGCTTCCCAGAGTTGAAGTGGGAGATGGGTGACTATCTGGAGGTCTCCTGAGAGCTGGGCCTCTGCCACCCCAGCCCCCAGAGCAGAGTTGTACCCACTGGCTGCCCTCAGAAAGAAGTAAAGTGGAGAGACAGACTTACAGCCTCAAAGAGACACTTGGAGAACTTGATGTCCTGCTCCATGGAGTCCACCTTGGCCTGGAGCTCTACCTTGTTGGCATAAGCTGCATCCACATCCTACAAAATGCCCGGTCATCTCCAGTCACCATGGAGCAGCTGGGAAGGAAATGGCCACCCCAACCCAGGGACCTCCTTAGGGACATAGACGCCCTCCCCTCCTGGTGGCTTAGGGAGAAGGGGATAGAGGAGCCACGCCTCAGCACCCTACCCCAGGAGAACCTGCTCCACTGCAGGAATACAGGAAGGAAGCCCTAGCCAGGCCACTGTCTGAGGCACGCCTGTGGCCTCTGGGCCAGGTGCCATGCAGCAGGGGAACGCCTTTGGTGTCAGGTCATGTCATGGTGGCCCTCCCTGGCCCGCACTACTCTTCCTGGACAGTTTTTCATCACAGTCCCCTGCCTTCCCCTCACTATCTCTGCATCAGTTCATTCTGGCAGAGCACGGGGGTGGCAGAGCACGCTGCCAGCTCAGCATCCCTGGGCCAGGTCAGCCCCCAGATGCCAGCCACCTTCCCCTACCTTCTTGAGCAGCACAAACTCATTTTCCGCAGCTGTCCGCCTGTTGATCTCCTCCTCGTACCTGCAAAAGGCCACAGCTCATTGGCTCATGCATTTCACAGAGAGCCCCTTGTTGTGCCCAGAGAAGACCCTGAGTGAGGAGCAGAGTGCCCATTGGAGGGCGTAGGACTGGGAGGCCACAGAGGACTGGGCAGTGGGGATAGCTGGGCACAGAAGGCTTCCTGGAGGAGGTGCATGCATTCGAGTTTGGAAGAAGAGGATCTTTGAAGATCCAGCTTAGGAAATGAGGAAGAAGCTTGTGGAGCAAAATCCCTGTAGGAAATCTGAGAGGAAGCACCAAGCAAGCTGCTCCCCAAAATAAGGGCAAAGCATTACAAATGATGAAGGGCTCCTGGGAAGAGCTCTAGGGTTGCTCCTCAGAGCAGGGTGGGACCCCGCTCCTACTGATGAGGACCTAGGAGCTTGGAGAGAATGTTAGCGGTTGACCCAAGGTTTCCCTGACCACTGCCCAGCTAACTGGACATTTGCCCTAAGTTCCAGGTCAGAGGCTGGGGGGCAGGGAGCATGTTTTTGGAGGGGATTCTATTTGGTATGACCACAGGCCTCACCCCACTTTCAAAAATTTTAAGTTGGGGTGACCACCAAGGTCCCTTAGAGGGACAGGGGCCGGTGTCCAGGAAATGACAAAGGGTCCTTCCTCACTCACCTCTTCTTGTAGTCCTCCACCACATCTCGCACATTCCTCAGCTCCGAGTCCAGCCTCACCCTGTCCCCAGACAGGGTCTCCAGCTGCTTCCGCATGTTGCTGATGTGGCCCTCGAGGATGGGCTCCAGGTTGTTCTTGCAGTTGTTCAGGTCCAGCTGCTGCAGCAGCTCCCACTTGGTCTCCAGCACCTGGTTCTGCTGCTCCAGGAACCGCACCTGGAACCCAAAGCCAGTTACTGGGGAGGCCCGTCAGAAAGAGTCACACCTGTCACTCAAGGGCTTGGTGCAAAGCACCCTGCCTGCATATTCTCCTTCACCCCTCACTACAGCCACATGAGGTGGGCGAATCACAGCTCTGCTCAATGGAGAGGAAACTGAGGCATGGAGAAGTCTCACCTCTTTCCATAGCCACACAGCTTAATTTCTGATAGAGTCCAGAATTGAACCCAGACACTATACTCTATCCATCCAATCGCCCAGAGCCCACCATGACCAAACCAGTGCAGGGCATGGGTGTGCCTGGCAACAGCAGGACAGAGCAGGACAGGTGCATCTTTCTGAAAGGCTGAGCTTTCTGTAGAAGGGAGTCTCCTTTTCGTTTCATCACATGTCGAGTCTCAATGAGGCTTCGGCCAAAAATATTCAAAGTTCCTCAGTCAGGCCCAAACTCCATCTTTCCTTCTAGTCTCTATCTTTCCCTTTGTCCACCTTCCCTAAAGCAAGCATGGCAAGTGGGACAAGATGGACAGATGGAGCTGGGCCCCCACGGGGAGTTTGATCTACATACATTCCTCTTGTATGATTTTGGGGACCCTGCTTTCAAAAGGATATTTATCTTGATCTGTTTGTTTACTGACTAAATAAGGTTGTGTTCCCCCAAATCACAACACAGGACATGGGAACACTGCCTGGGATTCAGCATTGAGATAGGACTATCCACCAGTTTGTCTCTAGAAGGTCTTCTAGCATTTGCTTTGGTTTAACCAATCCTGAATTCTTCGTGTATTTCCCCAAGACTGAACCACAGAGCAAACCCACATATGTAGGACCCCAGAGTTCACATGTACACCATATACCCATCTGGATTGCTGAGAGGATTTGCCCATCTTCTCTGGAAGCCTGAGGTGAAGGGATTGATCTCCTCTTGGGACTAAAATTACTCTGGAACTGTCCAGGCTTTGTGCCTCCTTCCCCGCGGGAACAGACCAGCTTTGGGAACAAGACTATCTTCCTGTCCATCTTTCTTTCAATATCTCCAGAAATTCCCCCTCCATAGGATTCAACTAGCCCAGCCAAGTGTCAGGCCATCAGACCTCAATCATCAGAACACCTTGATCTTCTAGATTAAGCTTGGAGGACTGAGAAGCTGCAGAGCCAGCCCTGGCACCTGAGGCTGAGCAGAGGGCAGGAGGGACCCTGCCAGGCTGGAAGGCAGGAGAAAGGTCAGCTCTAATGGCCACATGGCCCAGACTTGGACTTGGGCTGCCCTGTCCTTGGTGCTTGACTGTCATGGAGCTGCCAGAGCACTCTAGTCTCCTCCCTGGATCTGGAGGTAGGAGGCTGAGGGTCGGGCCTTGCCTTTCCCATCCTCCAAATGGCCCTGGGCATGGCGTAACCTCTCTGCCTTTGTTGACTCATAAAAAACCAGCAGTCTTTCTGCACTGGAGGATCCCTTGAGGTCCTTCCAGATCTAGGATTCCTCTCCTGCTCCCCAGCACCCCTCCCTTAGCTTCTAGACATTAAAAAGATAGCAGTGATAACCGCCATTTGGGGAGTATTTCGTATGTATCAGGCCTCGTGCCAAGATCCTCACATGCATTTTCTTTTCTAAACCCTACACAACCCCAAGAGGGAGGCCATTATCTCCACTTTAGAGATGAGGAGACGGAAGCTCAGACAGGACATGCAACTTTCCAAAGCCACACAGCTGGTCACCAACGGGGCTGGGGCGAGGCCAGGCCTGACTCCAGAGACGATGGAAACCTCTTCCCCATGGTCCTGTTCAGCCTCTCAAGAGGGTCCTCAACTGAAATAAATGCCCATGACAGAGACATCGTGAATGCAGAGGACCTGGAATGACCACACACCAATGCCTCTGGTCCACTGATCATGTGATCAAGGACAAGGTCGGCATGGCACAGGAGAGGACAGGCAGGTCCCCTACAATTGGCCTTTCCTGATCACAGCCTGAATGACCCTAGGCTTAGCACAGGCAGCAAGCTGGCCCTCAAGAGTAAGAACCTTCAGATCTCCTGCCAGTGCCCCCATCAGCCTCTGTCAGTAGAAATTGCCTCCGCCTCTGCTTTCTCTCTTAGAGGACAACACCGAGAATCTTAAGGGACTCTAACACGGGGACTCCAAAGTCACCCTGAGGCTGGAATATACCTGCCTTGTGCACAATAAGTGGCTCTTCTTATCTAACCTCAATCCTTCTGCTATAACCAAATTTCATGTTCAAGAAGGGAAGAGCAGAACCATTCACCGATTCCCCAGGTCCCAGCAGACCCACCTTGTCGATGAAGGAGGCGAACTTGTTGTTCAGCGCCTTGATCTGCTCCCGCTCCTGGGCACGCACTTTCTGGATCTCGGGGTCTAGCTCCACGTTGAGGGGGGCCAGGAGGCTCTCATTGACGGTGACCTGGTGGATGCCTCCAGGTGGGCACACAGTTGGGCACATAGGCCCCAGGGCCACACTGCCAAAGATGCTGCCAGCAAAGCCACTGGCCCGACCTCTGCCAAATCCAAAGCCTCCATTCTTCCCACTGCCACTGGCCACGTTGAGGGAAATGCTCCGGGTGCCTCCCAGGCTGTAGAGGCTCCGACTGCCAAAGCCCCCGCTAAGCCCTTTGCCCCCTGCCCTGTAGGAGGACGAGCTGCCCCCAGAAAGCACTGCCGAGCAGCCACTGAAACCCCCCTTGGAGGCAGCTCCAGACTTGCAGGTGAACTGGCGGCTCATGTTGCTGGTAGAGATGGAGCGAGGACGCAGGAGGGAGGAAGGCAGAATCCCGATAAGGCGTTGCTGGCTGTGCTGAGGACCGGCAGGTGCCTTTATATATGCTTGGCACTGGGCTTGTGGATGGGCAGTCAGGGCTTAATTCGTGGGTTTGGCCTGCCTGGGAGCAAGAAGTCATTTTCTCTATGCTGAGCTAGAGATCAGGCCCTCCCCACCTCTGAAACAACACGAAACCTTCAAATTGCTGGGCTTGCAAGCCTTGCTCATGTAATTTGGGTCTTATCTAATTAACCTGCTGTTATAGGGTAATTTGCCCCAGGCCTCAGCCTCTCCAGGGGGGCGTCACCTGTACTTCACCATCTCTGTTCTGATTAATCTTCTCTGGATGGTTGGCTTCCTCCTGGGGGCTCAGGGAACAGAAAAGGGATGCACTTCCTTGAACAGAGCTGGCCACCTTGTGTCTGGGGGCTCCAACCATAGCTGTGTCCAGAAAGGGGAAGATCACTCAGGCGTTCTCCCTCCCCAGCATCCCGGAGACATAACCCACAGAGAACAGCAACTGTCTCAGCTGGGGATGGGGTGGAGAGACCCTGTCCTTGCCACGGGACATGCAAAGCCCAGGTCAGAGCCAGCCGTGGGCACATGGCAGCCAGGAGCTTCTACACCAGATGTTCACACTTCTCCAACACCTGTAATATGGCAGGTTGGGGGTTAGGGCAGGGGCAAGCCCTTCATGCACTGAACAATGAGGAAGAGGAGAGGAGGATGGAGCTGGGCAGAGACTCTGCTAGAGGGCAGACAGAGAAGTCAGCAGCCAGCCCGTGGCCTGGGGATTTCAAGGAAAGATTCCGGAATGGTCCATTCCACTGTTTCTGTCTCTCTTACAAAGCTGTATCTGCTAATGAGGCTTGGAGCTACCTGTGCAGGTATCACCTGTCCTCAGCTGCTGTCAACATGAGCTCAAACACATGCTGCATGAGCTGAGAAGGAAGCCCCATGGGGCCCTCCCCATGAGTCCAAGCTTCAGAGAAGGCCCCAGCAGGGGTGACCCAGTGAGCGTGATGCCAACCTGCCAGGCAGTCCTATGGTGCCTGCCTCTAGGCTCTGCCTGCTGCCCCTCCATCCTGGGTTACTGGCTCCTGTGATGGGCCCTAGTCCCCTCATGATCACCACAGTGGGCTCTGCCCCTGGAGATTGCCTTGGCTCAAAGATCCCTGCCTGGACCCCATGGTGGTGTGACACTCTTGGCTGGCCGGGACACAGTAGGGAGGAGGACCCAGAGACAGATTGGGTTGGGTCTCTCTCTCCCTTTTTGGGGTAGGCCTGGAATCCATTTCCTTTCCCTCCTCTGCCTCTCTTCCTCATCCCCCCCGCCCGCCATCTTGCCTCCATCGTTCCCACTGAATCCATCAGCAAGTCTCTCTCCCTCCCTTCTCTCTTTCCACCATCTCTCTCCATCCCTCTTTATTCGCTCCTTTCCGTCTTCCATATCCTTCCTTCCCTCTCACCCCATTTCCTGCTCTCCTCCCAGGTCTTCCGGGACTAGCATAGCCCAGGACTGAGCTCTGCTCACCTCCTCAGCCCTTAGCCTGTGCTTGGATGTGTGGAAGGACGGTGACTCTGTGCTCAGCTCCTGTGATGTACCTCTAAGGCCACACCCCATGCCCATCTTACTTTTCCTTTGTAAGGATGGAGGAAGCTTCTCCAGACCAGAGCCCACCAAGTCTACTCCTCCCCCTCCCCCTCCCTCCCTTTCTCCCTTCGGCACACCTTCCCTTAGGACCCATGGTGTGCCCAGAATTATGCCCAATTCTGGCAGCACAGAAGTTTGTGGGATAATGCCTTAGGCCTCCTGGGCCACGATCCTGGCACGGTGGTCCTCTGTGCATGGTTTTGCTGGCTGTATGTTTCTGTGCCATGCATGGCAGCATCCCAGGCAGCCACCAATGCCCTGCAGCTGCTGCCCCTGCCCCGTCGCACAGCCCCCTTCCTTGCTGCTCCCTGCCTGGCTAAGGACTCCTCACCTACTGGGCTCACCTTTGCCAACCTGCTCCTATCCAGCCCAGACCCCTTCTCTCACCATCTCTTCTGACCCAAATTCCTGGGCTCCTCTGAAATCCTGCTTAAAACCCTGAACTCTGCCCCATCCCCTCTCCTCTGCCCCGACTCCTCTGTCCATTGATACCTGCCTGACAGAAACTGTGTTTGCTGGGGTCTGGGTGAGATCCTACGTACCCAGTGGTGCCTCCCTCTCTGCTTCCCCTCAGAGTCCAGTCCCAGCCTCTGACCATCTCACTGTGAAACTCTTTGTTGGGGAAGCAGCCAAACAGAGATGGTTCACCTACATGGGAGCCCGGGCTCCAGGCACCTGAATTCCATGCCATCACTCAGCAGAGGGGCTTGGCTTGGCCTCTCTGAGCCTCAGCTTCCCCAACTATCAATGGAGCAATGAATTCCAATATGGTGGTTGTAACGATGACCCATGTTAATCCACACCAAGTGCTCCCTATGTATCTGGTGCCCACTTAATGTCCAATAACTTTTATCAATGACCAAAAATAGGAAATAAGGCAGCACTGGCCTGGCCTCTCCTCCCTCCTTCCTCTCCCAGGGGGCATCTGGATCAGCACATTCCCACACAGTGGCATCAGATGTTGAGGACAGGGAAGGGGTGGTGTCCCCACAGGCCCCAGGCTCTCCACTCAGACCATTCCTGACACTGGATGATGCACCATAAGAAACCATAACAAGAGCCACTGTCTAGTAAGTGTTTGCCAAGCACAAAGCTCAATAGGAAGTTCCCCATAGATACACCTCACGTCCATTAGTATTGATCCATTTATCAGATTCTTACCGAGCACCTATCAAGTACAAAAGAGGGCAATCCAAAATCTCCTGCCCCCAAAGAACTTAGTCTCTGTGACCCTTCCAATGCAGATGTCCCTGGGAGAAACAGCTCATCTGACTATTAACAAGTCATTAACACCCTAGTGTGAATTAGTTATCAGCACTGGCCATTAGGGAAGAACCACCCCGTGTTGTTGACGAGGAAGATGATAGAGGACGGAGCAGGAGAGTGCGGGCCACCCACAGGAAGGGTGGACCCGGCCTAGGGCTCCTGGGATGCTTGTGTTTTGCTGGAGGGAAAAGGGAGGGAGGCAAGAAAACCAGGATAGGCCCCATTTCACCAAGGTGACAAAGGTCCTGCCTCAGCCCCTGTTTTAATTTAGAGCTAGAAATATTGGGGACAGGAGGTGACAGAGTCCCTGCTTTGGGAGGCCTCCTGACCCGGTGGAGACAACACGTGAGCTACCATGTCGCAGCTTCCTGTCCCTCCTGCCCTTCACAGATGGCTATGTGAGAATGGAATTCTGAGCAATTTCTGACCCAGTATGGACACGTTTGAGCCCCAGGTTTACTCTGTAAATAGGTCACAGGTGGAGTGTCAATTAGAGAATCAAAGCCAAGATCTGTAATTTTGTGTCTGTACCTGTGATGGCGGCCACTCGGACACATTTGTTTATGATCCTTTGGTTCTGATTGGCATGTCTGCTCTACCTGCTCCATGTTCCCGGATCCCAGGAGCCTCCAGGAGAGGCCCTTAGAGAAAGAAGGGCAAAAGGGCAAGAGAACCCAGTACCACACAAGAGGGGAACTGCTCGAGAAAGATGAAAGCACAGAGAAGAGGCAAGACTTGGGGACAATAAACCCACCAGGACTGCCTGGAGAAGGAGGAGGTTCGGATTCCAGCCTTTCAAGGGATGAGGCTTGGATGGACGGGAAGTGAGAAATAGGAAAGCAGCCCGGGCCATCAGGAGACAGGTCATTTATGAGGAAAAATCCCACCAGACTGGAGCAATCATGAGTGAAGGGTGACCTTGAGTGACCCCAAATCCCAACTGTTCATGTGACAGGGTGAGTGACGGGGAGCCACTGAGGGCTATGGAGCCGGTGGAAACCTAAGCAGTCCATGTTCGAGGAAGCAGAATCTCACTGGCATGTGGGTAGGACTGGTGGGTGGGCAGAGGCTGGAGGCACTGGGAGAGAAGCAGCTGGTTCTCTGAGCAAAATATTCGTCTCCGAAACTAGAGAATGAGCTGAGCTATTTGAATGACACAGCCCAGGTCCCGCCAGCCCTCCTCAGCACGTGGACCCAGGACACGGCATGTTGTCTACAATTCCTCCCGAAGTCCACTAACCCCACACCCCCACATTCTCCTGAAGTTTCAGGTAGAAGCACCCATAGCCCAAGCTAGCTGGGGGGACTGTAGTTCCTGCGGGACTTGGCCACCGTCAGAGCCACTCATCTGGGGCAGGACAGCTGCTCGGCAGCAGGTTTGCTCCTGACAAGGCCAAAGGTGAGCTCATCCACAGAAGCTGGGGTGTAAGGACAGGGGAGCGTCCCACCGGGCACTCAGCTCCATGCCCATTCTGCTGCATCTGGCTGCCTTGGGGGCAGCCCTTGCTTCTGCCTTGTTTAGCTCGGTGGCCAATCATTTGTGCTTGGCCAGGCATCTCCTTCCTCCCCACCCCGACCTCTGTTGAAGGGTATAGACTTGGGACCCGAGGATCAGATTTTGGTCCCGCCTCAGTCACTCAGGGACCGTGTGACCATGGCAGGTCTGCTACCTTCCCAAGCCTCTGTTTCCACATCTCTAAGAAGGGGGCACCAACCCCTGCTCCACCTACTTCCCGAGGAGGAGGAGGGAGGTGCTTTATAAATAACCATAATGACACTGAGGCTGCTGGTAGCAGCTACCACTGGGCAGTGTTCACTCTGCCCTTCACGTAGACTAATTCATTTAATCCTCACAACAGCCCTAGGAGGTGGGTATCATTATTATCCCCACTTTACAGATGAAGGTACTGAGGCCCAAGGAAGTTAAGCAATGTCCTCAAGGTTGCACAGCTAGTGCTTGACCCAGGGTTCAGACCCAGGCAGTCTGGCTGCGGGCTGTTTCTTGGCCACCAACTGTCCTAGCTGTCCTGACTTCCTGGTGCATAAACACAGAGTGCCGGTGCCTGCCACAGTCCAGGTGCACACGTCCACCTGTCCTTCCACAGCCTCTGAATTCTGTTCTCTAATGTCCCTCTGGCACCTGACCATAGTGAAAAAAACTGAGCTTTTTACTCTCTATTCTAAATGGGCTCCCACCCCTAGTGCCCGTGCCCCCCATTTCTGGTTGTC